TCCCTTGCAATCGTCGCCCTCCTTCTGCTTCTCCGCCAGTCCATTTGTTGTTCTTTCGGTTCCTTTGAGTCCTCGCCCTCCTTCTGCCACTCCTCGAATCCTCTTTGTCTCCTCCCTCCATCCGACCCCATGCCCATTCACGATCCATTTCCGTAGCCACCGTGGCTCGAGGTGGCGCACGCGAAGACGCAAGCATGTGGCCGCCCGCGCGCCCGAGCGCATCCTCAGGGAGTATGGACCGTGGACTTCGATTCGCCAGAACGGTGTTCATCCACAACGCTGAGGAGGAGGAGGGAGGCAAAGACGAGGAAGCCGCAGTTGCGGATGATGACGACGACCAGCGGACGCAAGATGGCGACAGCACCGTCGCGTCCTCGGCTGCCTCCGCTGACGAGGCTGAGTCCCGGGGAGGTGCGGGAGCCGCAGTTGCGGCAGCACATGACTCCTACATGCCGAGAGTGTTGTCGTCGCGGAGACCCTGGAAACGGGTGCCCATCATCGAGACAAGCAATCTGTCGGAAAAACAAAGAGCTCTTGTCGACGCATGGGAGGAGAAAACGGAGTTCGAAGCGGGACGGGTCGGCTTCTACGTGGCCAACTTCGGAGGGACTGCAGCTAGACCCACGCAACGCGCGGACGAGTGGGCGCAGCTCCGCGCGAACCCTGCCCAGATCATCGCCCTCTGCGAGTGCGACGACGAGACCTGCGCGGTACTCAGTGGGGAGCACGACGCGAGGGACAGTGCAGCCGCAGTTGCGGACGATAGGTTTCGGAGTCGGACTCAATACAACTACCTGTGCGTTAAGGGCGGCGAGCCATCAGGGACCCTCCTTGTTGGCATGAGGGACCGCAGTGGCGGCCACATTGAACACGTAGACTTTGCGAGACTCTTCCACAAGCAGGAGAAGTCCAAAACGAAGAAGAAGAAGAAACAGTCCGCAGTTGCGGAGGCTCCTGCGCCAAAGCTGCACAACAAGTACTCCAGGGCGATGGTGGTGCGCGTCCACCTGGACCAGGCCGTGCCCCATTTGGGGGGCTCCTTCAACGTCATGGCGGTGCACGTCCACCACAGCTTGGCCAACCAAGACTGGGGCGTCACGAAGCTCCATGAGTTCTACAACTGGTTCGTCGCCTACGTCAGGGAATGGGACGTGAAGGTCTGCATGGGGGACTTCAACATGTGCATGTTCCAGCTTGTGTCCTGGTGCCGCAATTGCGGCCTGACTGTGGACGTCGCCGCGTGGACCCCCTGGAAGACAGCAGGCGGCCAGCCCAGGGCAGACAGCATGGCGATTTTGTTCATAAGCTGTCCTGGGCAGTACAAGCTTCACCATGGCCTGAGTGTTCTGCACGACCGTGAGGGCGGATTCTTGACGACCCAGCATGATCCGTCTTTCCCTGTCTTCGACTACACGAATGGCCCTGGGAAGATGCTTCAGACTTACGTGCCCAAGGCTGAGCCCGTTGAAAACAAGATGCGCGCCTTCCTGACGCCATCTGGCGAATCCTTGACCGCAGTTGCGGAGTTCGAGCAAAGGATGGCGCGCAGGGAACGCGACGATTGGGTGCGCTATCCCTTCAGAGTGAAGCAGGGCAACCTCGACGACAAGATATGGCATGGCGCCTTCGGCAGGGCGAGGCACGGAGCGCACTTCCCTCTGGTGGCTTTCACGCACAATACGTGCCGCAGGTCACCTGAAAGACTCGCCGCGAGGTTGGAACGCAGGAAGGGCGGCAGGAAGGGCGGCAAGAAGGGCGGCAAGAAGGGCAGCTACGCGGACACCGCAGTTGCGGGGAAGGGCGTCCGACCCCAGATGGGAACCGCAGTTGCGGGGAGAGACGCTGGGGCTGAGCGAGCTGGGAACACGCCACCGCCGCAAGCTGCCAACGGCGACGATGCGACCCCTTCTTGTGCCGCAGTGGCGGCTGGGTCCTGGGACGCCAGCGGCAGCGGCGCATGGGAGGCGCGCAGTCCCGCCACGAGATGGCAGGGCTGGTCCTGGTGGGACTGGAGCTCGAGCGAATGGGGCGCTGATGGCGCGCAGTGGTGGCCCTCTGATCATGCCGCAGTTGCGGACAATGCCCCTGAGGGCTCGCCTCCTCAGCGTGAAGTCGAGTGGGGCTCGAGCGGGCGACCTGCCGAGCGCCCTCCGTGGAGCTTCGAGGCGCAGCGTTGGTGATGGCCGCAGTTGCGGGCAAGTGGAGCATGATGTTGATTGCCGCAGTTGCGGACAGTGTACGCTGGAAAAATCATCATCATCATCAATCATAATCATCATCATATCATCATATCATACGTTCAAAGCAGTGCCGGGGCACTGCTTTGAACGCGTTCAAAGCAGTGCCGGGGCACTGCTTTCGATCGTCGCCTCGTCGCCGTTATAAGGGCTTTCGGATTAGGTCGGTATCAGTCCTTGCAATATTTCTTGGCGCCAGGTTGGCGTTCCGCGCGGGATCGGACAGCTTCAAAGGTGTCCAAGGGGAATCTGAGACAGGAAGCGCGTGAGGTCTTGGCCCTGCGCGGGCAAACCACTATTATGTTTACGCGATCCAGCGCAACGTCAAACAGGAGATGTGTGAGAGGTGCGCCGAAAGAAGACGTACGTAACCCTCGGGGCGCGGATCACACGTACTCTTACGTGCCCCAGGAGGTGTGATGCAGCCCTGCCCTGCGGAATGCGCGAAGCCATGCCTTACGCCATGTCATCTCATCATCCTCCATTTCGCCATCATCTCATCATCTTCTCTCGAAGTCTATACGGCGAGTGCCCGCAGGGTGCCCACCGAATTTGATGGGGCCCTCTTGGGGACCTCTTGAAACCTTTGGGAGGCCTCTTGGGTCGTCTTGGGGCCTTATTGGGCCGTCTTGGGGCAGTCCTGGGCGCCTCTTAGGCTAACTTCGGGTGATCTTAGGGGTCTCTTGGGCCGTCTGTCAAACACCCAAATCTGAAGATTGAAAAGGCACAAACACCCAAATCTGTCAAACATCTTAGATAATCTATGAATCTTGGCCTCCGTGGCCGCTCTTGGGTCTGTCTTGGGTCATCTGGGAGGTCTCTTGAAGCCTCTTGGGGCTCTCTTCGGGCCAGCTTGGGGCATGCTCCCAGTCGATCTCGACTAGAGTGCCCCCTTGGAGCTCCGTTTGGCTCCCTCGGGGCGCTCCTGGAGCGCTCCTTGGGGGGCAGGAACATCGCCCCGGGAGAGGCCTGGCATCCTTTGGGGTACCCTTGCCCGGGCCTTTGGGGGGGGGGGTAGTTTTCGTCCGGGGATCCCCAGGGGCGGCCCCGCGCCTTTATCGGGGAGGCCCTGCGGCCTGTGCCGTCGACCCAGCAGGACGACGACCACGACCACTGCGACGACCACGACGCCCACGACGACGACGGGCGGGTGGCCCTGCCACAGGCTCGGGACGTGGCGGGGCGGGCGCTGGGCCTCCCCGCAGTTGTCACTGCTGTGGGCCTCGCCGAGCAGTGTTCGCTTGCCTGCTCGGTGCTCGCCGGCGGCGCCGCCAGGGGACTTGGCATCGCTCGGACGTGTGCATTTTTCCTTCGGCGAGGACCCTCGAGGAGCATCCTTGATCATGTGGCGAAAACGCCACGCACGAAACCGAACAAAAACACAGGGAATGGACGTCCGAGCGATGGCCAGGGGGGCTCCAGCGCCGATCCAGGAAAAATCCGAGCCCTGCGGCCTCGGGGGCCGCGCCGGGGCGCTCGGAGGGGGCCGCGCCCCGAAGGGGCCCGCGCGGGGCCCGAGTGGCTCCAGCGTCAGTATTCGACTCCCGGTGAGCGAAGGCCGGCTTCTCGCCTTACTCGAAAAAACAGCAACTGCATGGGCGTGCAAAGTCGGAGGTCCGCGCGGACTTCTTGGATCTGAGCTGGGGCGCCACGGCGGCGCCTCAGGCGCCGCCCCTGGCGCGCTCCGCGCGCCAGCGTGGGAGGTATCAGCGCAGATCCCAGAAATCCGCGTGGACCTCCAACAGTGTATGCTTATGCCTTTGTTTCTTTCTCTACCGACGCTCTTGACGCAGCCCCCTTGATGAGTGCTGGCAGTCCGCCACGAGGGCGCGAAGAGATCCGCGCAGCGCGAAGCGCGAGCCTGGCTGCTCTTGCCAGCCGTGATTGCGAAGGCCTCCCAGCTGCTGCCTCCCGACCAGCGCGCAGTCCCACCCGCGAGGCGGGCGCCGTGCGGCCTCTCGCGCGAGTCCAGACGTCTGGAGGGGCAGGACGTCACGTCAGCACTTCGCTCAGAGACTATCCAGGCTTTCAGGGTTTCCAGGGTTGGTTGCTGTTCCGCACGGGCTGCAGAAACGAGGGCCGCCAGATATTCTCGGAGGGAGAAACAGCGGTACCAGCACAGATGTTTGGGGCTCCGCGCGAGTTTCTTGGATAGGCGCTGCGGGGCGGCGCCTGAGGTGCCGCCAGGGTGGCCCAGCGCCGAGCTGAGCAAAGAAATCCGCGGGGAGCTACGACAGTTTGTGTTTATGCAGTTGAATGCAGTGCTTCTTTCACCGAGCTCCTTGGAATTCCCAGCACGTTATCATTTCGATCGTATCATGAGGTCGCTCTCGTCGTAAGGAGGGTCCCAGCGTGCACCCCGCCGCAGCCCCCCGCCCCTTCAGGGCTGATTCCGATTCCTCCGACGCGATACAATCTCGATCGATTCCGATTCCGATCCGACTCGACTTCTGCTTCCGACGCGGAGTTCGGTTTCTCACTTTGGGGGCCTGGCTGGCCTGCAGATTCCTCAGCCGACTCGACTCCTCCCGACCTGGCTGTCCATTCCCGCGGATCCGATCCACATCCGTCGCCGGTCCGACTCATCGATCCGATCGACTTTGGGATTTCCTGCCAGCGTGCACCCCGCCGCCGCCGCCCCGAGGAGGAGGAGGAGGAGGAGGAGGAGGAGGAGGGGGAGGAGGAGGAGGAAGAGGAAGAGGAGGAGGAGGAGGAGGAGGAGGACGAGGAGGAGGAGGAGAAAAAGGAGGCCCCCCCCCCGAGGACGGCGGCCCCATCGTGGGCCGCCACGCCGCGCGCGGGGCGGCCACGGCGCCCTGCGGCCGCAGGCCCAAGGGCGCCGTGACACCCCGGAGCGGCGGCACCCCTCCCCCGAGGCAGGAGCTTTCGAAGGGTCGGGTCGCGCCGCGCCGCCGCAGCCGGAGGTCACCGAGCGCGTTCCGTTACTCGCAGAGTGCCTGCTCGCAAAAGCGTCCGACGAAAGAACATGTGTTTTTCTGTATGCAGTGGATCGTAGATCCCCCGCGGCAGCTCCAGGCCGTTTGCGAGCAGTTTCTCTGCGGGTAGTGGAACGCGCTCGTCCATGAAGGTAGATGTTCGGCGCTCCTCGCGGATTTCGCGCCGATGCAGGAAATCCGCGCGGACCGCCAGAAGTTCCTGTCTATCCCGTGTCTTGTTCCTCGGAAGAGAAAGAGGAGAGCATGTTCCTGCAGTCCAGACGCTGGAAGCAGGAACAGTTTGGGTTCGGGAGGGGCTCGAGGAAGAGGGGACCAAAGCAGGGTGCTGAGTACGGAGCGCACATGGGCGGCACAGCCACTACCGCGTGGAGTCGCAATGCGTAGTGACTGCGACCCGCCACGCCGTGGCCGAAGAAGTGGTGTCCCTGCTGCAGCGCCGGATGGGCTTCCCCCTCCCCACCTGCTGCGCAGGCGTGCTCCGCCTCCGCCTCAGCCTTGGCCTCCTGCTGGCACGCCGCGATCGACGGCAGGGCCCAAAGGGAGAACTCGGGGAGAACCCGAGGCGAACGTCAACCTGGGCACATGCACGTCAAAGCCACGAACACCTCGGCCCCGAGACACAATCAGGCGATCGCAAGCATGGATTAAGGGGGCGTGGAATAGCGACGGGTCCCGAACGAGGCGGCACCGGCCGCATTTTGGGGAGGGGCACCTCCCCAGATCCATGGATTTGGCGACCGCGCGCCTAATCCATGGATCGCTCATCCATGTCTGCGCGCCCCCGACACAAACACCAGCCCTACCACGTGATCGTTTTCTGATACCTTATTCTGCCGATCGGCTTGGGCCCTCGCACCCCCGCCTCTCCGCCATGGAGTGGCTCTTGGCTATTTTTGGCGCCTGTTTCGAGCAGATGGAGTCTCCCCCATAGGACGCACTGCTGCAAGCAGTCGCATGAAGCAGAGGTCCGGAGCCAGACCCTCCACCCCCTCCCCGGCCGCCCAATGACGAAACGCCGCATAAGAAAGCGCTCACCACCACCGCGGCAGCGCACACTTCACGACGGCTGCGTGCCAGTAGTGCACAGGGGCCACACTAATCTCATGCGACGCTCGGGCACCCACACAGCAGCACGCATGGCCGAGGGGTAGGGACAAGGGCCGACACCACACAGTGCCCCGGCTGGCAGGGCTCGGGGGCGACTGCTTCCCTGCCTCTCCGGGCGACACGGCGGCTGGGGGAGCAATATAGAGCCGTCGACGGATCAACAGACCCGCAGTGATCGCCCCCCGCGGACGAACTTCGCGGGACCGCCGCCTGGCACATCTCGTCGCGCCAACATCGCAGAGATGATTTCGTTCGGCAAACGATAGGATGGGCCCGGAGTGTCCTGGAGAATTTCGTTCCCGATTTCGAGGTGAATTTCCCGACTGTTCTTGGCCGGGAATGAAGACCAAGCAGAAACCCACGTGAAGTTCACTTCGTTTTTCGCTCGACGCTTCGGGCAAACATCCAGGCAGAAATCCGCGCAGAAATCCGCTGCAGCACGTCTGCAAGGCTGGTGCAATGACACCCAGAGGCTGTGTATGGCACGGCACGGTTTGATTCGAGACGCCTTCTGTATCGGATCCGCTCACGAGCCCGACGCCACAAGGCCCGTGACTGGCACCGAGCTGTACCTGAAGGGGACGCAGGGTCCCCCGAAGGAGCACAAGCCACGGCACCCGCCACATACGGCTCAGACACCCACGCGCGTAGACCAAACGTGTCGCCGGGCTGCCCCCAGGATGATGCGAAATCGACACTGACGCCCCAGCTGGAGCCTCGGCCGACACTGGCGCCCCAGCCGAAATTCCCACGAAGGAGAGAGCCCGAGCGCCAGCCGCCTCCGCGGCGTGATGAACCTGGGGAGGGTGTGCTTTCCCGCCCCGCTACAAACTTGATGGCTCAGAGGATGGCCGACCCGAGCGCAATCAAGAGAACTCAGACACCGCAGCACTCGGCCATACCTCTCCAGCGGCGCTACTGGGGGCACCCCGAATAGAGATGGGGTTAGCCAAATCTAATGCCCTCATCCCTCCAAACACATCCTGGAGGCCCAAGGCCCAGGCGGGGGAGTGGACCGCGGCGAGACTTGTGACCGGGGGAGGAGAAGCGCGGGGAGGGGGAAGGGGAGAGGAAAAGAGGAAGAGGGAGAGTGTAAGAGGGGGGGGCACACATCCGCCACAGCCTACCCTCTAGCCAGAGCCGCGCGGCAGTAGCAGGACCTCCGCGAGTTCTTGTGGAGTTTCTCATGCCAGCAGCGGCGAGCCCAGCGCGGGCGTGCAAGACTGAACGCCGCCAGCGGCCCGGAATCGCCCGACGTCGAGCGATCCGCGTTGTCGGGCAGGCGCGATCGCTCAGCGTTGAGCGATGCGCGCTGTGTCAGAGACCGACGCCGAAGGCGTTGCGGCGGGAACCCGCTGAATGCATATCCACCGCCTTTGGGCTACCGATTTCCCAGCCCCCTCGTAGAGTCACCACCCACCAAACCACCCCAACCCAACCCGAAGGCTTCAATTTGCCATCCATTTTCAATCTGGTGGGGGGGTCGGGGAACATCGAACCAACAAATATTTGGAACCCGTACCCCCGCCCACCCCGAAATTCGGGTCTTCGGGTTGGGTTGGGGGTCGTCTGGTAGCCATGAGTTCTGGCGTGAGCAGCAGCAACGGATACTCTGGGTTTCTTAATGAGCGTGGGGGGGTACCCCCCCGACGGGGGTCAGTCTCGTATCGTCGTCGTGCCGCGACGGGGGTCAGAGCGCCTGCGGCGCGCGGTGGCTGCCCGCGAAGGGGGTCGATTTGGGGCTGTCGGCGGGGGTGACGCCACCCCGACGCTTACTCAGAAAGTCGGAGTAGTTTTAAGTCGGGCCTGTCCCTCTACAGGGGGAATATTCAAAAATGGTCAAGAAAAAGTCTGGGGACTATGTTTTGAGCATTTTTGAGCATGTTGATTGCATTTTGTTGGGTATTTTAAATTTTTCGTCAAAAATCGGCCTGTAGGGGGACAGGCCCGACTAAAGAGCAGTTATGTCGACTGCCCACGTCGAGGTCGCCCGCAGGGGCCCGAAGGCCCTCCTGCTCCGCGCTCCGCGGCCCGGGCCGCGTGGCTGTGCCCGCTCTCCGGGGCGGCCCAGGCGGTGTGGTGACCAGCAGGAGGAGGAGCAAGACGAGGAGGAGGAGGAGGAGGAGGAGGAGGAGGAGGAGGAGGACACCGTGTGGTGAGTCGGTGGGGAGTCGAGGTCACCGCTTGTCTTTGGGACTCGGGTCCCTCTCCGAGGATGTCTTGGGCGACAGGGGCCTCCAGGGCCCCAAGACCGTGCGGTGACGGACCGTGCGGTGAGGTCTCTTGGGGTTCCGAGGTCACCGCACGGTCTGGCACCACACGGTTTTGGAAGCCCCAAGAATGTGGCGGCACGGCCCAGGGCGCGAGGGCGCGAAGTCGGGCGGCCGGATTCGGCGGCGAGCGAGGGGGGGAGGTGAGATCGCGCCTTCGGAGAAGGTTTTCCTGCGTCGCGGGGGAAGGCTTACGGGAGACTTCTCAAGAAGACCGGGGGACTTCCACGCCTTCTGAGAAAGGCCCGCCCCTTCTCACGTCCCCCCCCCCCGGGGCCAGCGGCTCGCCGCCGATGGATGGTGGGGACCTGTGCCTGGGCCTCCCAGATGGGGTCCGAAGCAGAGGGGGTCGAAGTCTCGCTCCGCAGCGCCGATGCGGCTCGATGTGGATTCCGACTGCTTCACGCCCACGTCGCCGACGCATCGCCGACGTCGGCAATGCATTGCCGATGCATCCCCGATGCATCGCCGATGCATCGGCGATGCGGCGCGATCCGTCGACCTCACCGGCTCCGACCCCATCCAGGAGGCCTCTGCTCTGGTCCCCCTCGGGGCCCGAGGGTTTGCACGTTCGCTGCTTGCTGGGTGCATGGGCGGGGTGATGTGTCAGAAAGCTCCGGCCTCGGGCTCCTCGCCTGAGCGCGCGCGTGGCCAGGGTGTGGTGATCGCTGGTACGTAGTCTGGAGGCCGCAGCGGCGCCTGGCGCGCCAAGCCGAAGCGGCAATCCTCGGGGCGGCCGCAGGCGCGGGGCTTCCACGGTGAGACTCGCCCTCTCCCCGCCCACCTCCTCTCCCTTCTCTCCCTCCCTCCCTCCCTTCCCCCCTCCCCTCGCTCTCTCCCTCCCGTCCCTCACTCCCCTCCCTTTCTCCCCTTTGTACCCTCTCGGGATCATTGCCCTCTTCGACATCCGATTGCGTGAACAGAGAGGAGGTCTACGCAGTGGCAAGGGATGGGAGGGAGTGGTAATTAGGACGTGAGATACGACGCTTGTGCACCTACAAGCCTCGTCAAAAATAAACAGAAGGCTTCTGAATTCGGTGATTGTGGGGTCAGCGCTACTCCAATGCTGGCGGATGTCTGTTGACTCGGACAGCATCGTGTCCCAGGATTTCAACTTCCATTTCTGGATATGTTTGACGCGACTTGTAGTTCTGCCCCTCCCTCTCTCCCTCCCTCCCACCCTCCCCCTCCCCCCCCCGTTCCCCCTCCCCTCACGGTTCCTCCGCCCCCGTTTTCCCTCTCCTAGTGCCCTCGCACCTCTTCTTCCTGGTGATCCCCTCCTCCCCCCGGAGACGTCCTGAGGTCCCCAGGAGTCGCCCAAGGGGTCTCGGGGTCCTGGGCAGCCCAAGCAGGGGCAATTACTTAAGGACGAGTCCAAAACATTCGCTACAAGTAGCAAAATTAGCAGGCCCAATCAGGATGAATGACATGGGCGCCGCACGGCATTGCATGACCCATGAGCCATGGGATGTTTTTGAAGCAAGTCCCAGGGAAACGAGGCGGAGCGGGAAGGAAATCATAACGACAGTGAAGAACGGGAAGGCGCATAAGACGGCAGCACCTAGGACTTGAGTATCGGTAGGACCGCTTTCCTCTTGACCTCCCACGAAAGTGGCAGCAGTTGCGCAGTTGACCGCAAGTAGGGAGCGCGAGGTCTCGCTGACAGTGACATAGGGCCTCACTCCACTGGACTGCCAACGGCCTCACGAAAGTGGCGACATGTTGTGCGCAGTCGGCAGCACACATGGAGGGCGAAGTCTCGTTGGGACGCCCGTGGGGCCTATCTCCGCTGGGCCCCGCAGGAGCTCCCGAAAGTGGCGGCACCTGCGCAGCTGGCAGCACCCAGGGAAGGCGAGGTCTCGTTTACGTCGCCGAAGCACCGCACTCCCGCCAGACCTGCCATGACTGCACGAAGCTGGCGGCACCTGCGCAGTTTTGAGGAGCCCAGGGAGGCGAGGCCTCTGCCGGGTCTCCGCAGGACCAGACTCCGCTGGACCTCCCACGAGATCACAAAAGTGGCGACAGGTCGGGTGCGGAGGAGGAGGAGGAGGAGGAGGAGGAGGAGGAGGCGGAGGCGGAGGCGGAGGCGCAGGAGGAGGAAGAGGAGTAGGAGGAGGAGGAGGAGGAGGCGGAGGCGGAGGCGGAGACGGAGGCGGAGGCGGAGGCGGAGGCGGAGGCGGAGGCGGAGGCGGAGGCGGCGGCGGAGGAGGAGGAGGAGGAGCGCAGTTGGCAGCATCCAGGGAAAGACGAGGTCTCGGTTGTGTCGCCGAAGCAACGCACTCCGCTAGACCTCCCAGAAGCTCACGACATTGGCGACAGTTGCGCGGCTTGCAGCACCCAGAGACGGCGAGGCCTCGGTTGGGTCTCCGCAGGACCGCACTCCGCTGGACCTCCAACAATATCACGAATATGGCGAGAGCTGCGCTTTTGGCAGCACTCGGGGAGGGCGAGGGTTTCGTTCGTGACCCGGTCAAATGACCGCAGTCGGCAGCGTCGACAGGTGCGCTGGAGAGGGGAGGACGCCGAGGAGGAAGAGGAACATGAGTAGGGCAGCACCCAGAAAAGGCGAGGCTTCGTTTGGACCTCCCACGGGCTCACGAGAGTGGCGGCAAGCGCACAATTCGAAACACCCACGGAGGGCGATGCTCACTTTGGGTCCGCATGTGACGTCATTCCGTTGGACCTCCTGGGAAAGTGGCGACGGGTGCGACGTTGGCACTAGCTCGGGAGGGCGAGGTCTCGTCAGGGTCCCCGTAACTGTTACGTGAGTCCGCTGGCCCTCCCATGAATTCACGAAAGTAGCGGCAGTTTCGCAGTTGGTCTCAACCAGGGAGCGCGAGGTCCCGCTCAAAGTGCCCCTCACTCCGCTGGACTTCAACGGCCTCACGAAAGTGGCGACATGTTGTGCGCAGTCGGCACCACACATGGAGGGCGAAGTCTCGTTGGGACGCCCGTGGGGCCTCTCTCCGCTGGGCCTCCCAGGAGCTTCCGAAAGCGGCGAGACCTGCGCAGCTGGCAGCACCCAGGAAAGACGAGGTCTCGTTCGGATGCCCGTGGGGCCTCTCTTCGCTGGGCCTCACCGGGAGCTCGTGACATTTGGCGGCGCTCGCGCGGTCGGCAGCACATAGGGGGGCATGCAAGAGGTACGAGGCAGGCACGAGATAGGAGGCAGGCAGGCAGGAGGCGAGGCAGGGGGTGGAGGCGGGGGAGGAGGAGGGAGAGGATGGGGATGAGAGGAGCTGTGGAAAAGCCATGCCGAAGCCCAGGTCCCGAGGGAAGGCCCCGCGCTCTTCGGGAGAGGTCTGGTCTCGATCCGTCTGGTCTGCTCTTTCTTTGTGTGACCACCTCCCTGCCCGTCTGTGGCGCCACCCGGCTTCCTCCTCGAGAGGTTGCCAGAGGTTCCCCGATGCCCCCAAAAAGGTTGACACAGACATGCCCCAGCTCGGATCCCTGATCTTGCGCTCTCCTTGCCGTGGCACTCTTGGTGGCGAGCTCGCCTTGTTCATCCCATGCGGGTCGTCGGCGTGCCTCACGCGCGGGAGGACGTGCACGGACGAGGCAGATGATTGGGACTCGATTTCTGTTGGACGTGTGTCTCTTTCTTTGCGGAGCCTCCATCACCGGGCGCGTTCCACTACTCGCAAAATGCCTATTCGCAAACGTCCGAAAAGCACACGTTCGCCCCGATGTGACGCACCGTAAATCCTCCGCGGCTGATCCAGGTCATTTGCGAGTGGTGGCTTTGCGAGTGATGGCTTTGCCTACTCCGGGGTGCCTTCTCGTCGCGGCGGCTAGAGTCGCCTCACCATTCTGGCCAGCAGCATGCTCGTCCTGCATCCGCGGCTCCCAGAGGTCCCAACCCACTCCTGTGGGGGTGGTCTTTTCCTGTCCAGGGTCAATGTTCGATAGTCCTAGGGCTTCGGTAACCAGCACCAGGGGCCGCACCGGATGTGGCGGGCTGGACTGCGGGATGATAGGGATAGTCGCCGGTCCGATGTCTGCAGCAGGTTGCCCCGTCCTGGAAAGACAAGGCATCGGGATCGGCACATGTGGCTGAGCCAGGCCCCAGCGAGAAAGGGGGGCGGCGGATCTCACCGTCCCCGTGGTCGTGGCCGCCCAGGCAGTGGGGTTAATGCCTGCAGCCCCCCCCGTCCCAGTTGCATGCCGCGGCCAAGTCGCGGTCGGCCTGGAAGGTCATGTGTGGGGCTCCCGCGCCCGCCCGTGCGGGAAAGTGTGGCGCGCGCCCGCTCCCTTCTCGCGCCATCCCTTCTCTCCGCCCCCGCCCGCCTCGCCAGCCCTCCCCTGCTGCTGGTGTTCGTCCTCGTCCTCCTCTCGTGGCCGTTTTCTGATTCCTCGTTTTGCCGATCGGCGCGGGCCCTCGCACCCCCGCTCCTTCATCCTCCCCCCCCCCTTGTGGAGCAGGTCTTGGCCGTTTTGGGCGCCTGCTTCGAGCAGGTGTAGTCTCCCTGGCAGGACGAACTGCTCCAAACAGTCGCGCTAAGCAGAGCTCCCCTCCCCCCACCTCCGTCCAATGTCGAAACGCCGAATATAAAACGTTCACCTCTCTCGCCACCGCACCAGCGGTCCCCAGTGGCGGGCGGTCGGTCGTTCTGCGCCAGCACGGGGGCCCCCTGACGCCAGCAGGGGACCGCAGCCGAGGGGGGGGAGGGAGTCGGGGGTGGACAGAACCCCCCCCCCCTGACACGTCGAGTAGTGACTTGTCCGCTTTCGGTTCTCGAGGGGGCACCGCGGCCGTCATGTCCCGGGCTCGCGCCCGCCAGCTTTGGGCCCGAGGCCGTTCTCGCGAAACTTCGTTTTGCTGACGGGGGGTTCTGTCCACCCCCGAGGGAGGCCACCGTACCTGCTCATATCCGACCCCCTCGAATGCCATCGGGGCAGAAGGTGGAGGCGGAGGGCCAGGCCCCTCGGGCGATGTCGGAGTAATCAGCGCGACAAGGAAGTAGGCGTTGTATCTTGTGCGTAGCGACGTGCTCGTATGCGGTTGTCCGCCTCCTCCTCCTCCTCCTCCTCCTCCTCCTCCTCCTCCTCCTCATCCCTCATCCCTCCTCCTCCTCCTCCTCGTTGTCCTCCTCCTCCTCCTCCTCCTCCTCCTCTCCTCCTCCTCCTCCTCCTCCTCCTCCTCCTCCTCCTCCTCCTCCATTCCTTCTCCTTATACATAATCTCCCCTCGTTGTCCTCCTCCTCGTTGTCCTTCTCCTCATCCTCATCCTCCTCCCTCCTCCTCGTTGTCCTCCTCCTCCTTCTCCTCCTTTTCCTCCGCTTCCTCCTCGTTGTCCTCCTCCTCCTTCTCCTCCTCCCCCTCCTCCTCCTGCTCCTCATCCTCCTCATCCTCCTCATCCTCCTCCTCCTGTCAGGCAGGCCAGTCTCGCCGCAGCTATGGCGGCCGACGAAGTGTTGCGCGCTGGAGCCGGCACGCAGTGCCGCCGAGCCAGCGGTGTGCCGCGGACGTCTCGTCCAGCTTCTCGACACCGCAATCGTGGCACGTCTTGCCGAACCTGCCTTGTGTGTGTGTGTGTGTCGCCGACTGCGATCGCCTTGTCTGGTAGTCCAGGTTTTTCCGTGTGCCTCATAGTTCAGCTGGCGGTCCTCGGAGCCCTGCCGGTGGCCTTGGAGGCCTTGCTAGCGGTCCTGGTAGCTCAGCGCGTGGTCCCAGTGGCTCGGCAGGTGGTCCTCGCCTTGGTAGCTTTGCGGGAGGCTCTTGTACTTCAGTTGGTGGTCCGCGTAGCTGAAGTTGTAGTCCTCGCAGCTTTGGCTGAAGCCGTCGTAGCTCACTTGGTGGGTCTCCTTGCAGTTCAGCTCGTCCCCCCAGACGCTCCGCAGGAGGCTCTGGTGGGTCTTCCTGTAGTCCGCGTAGCTCTGCCTGTGGGCCTCGTAGCTCAGCAGGTGGCCCTCGTAGGCCGCGTAGCTGTGCCCGTGGTCCTCGCAGCTCAGCTCGCAGTCCTCGTGGCCCTGCCAGTGTCTCTCGTCGTGGCCTTGGTAGCTCCGCAGGTGGCCCTTGTAGCCGAGCTGGTGGTTTTCGAAGTCCAGTGGGGGCGCGCATCAAGACGCCATCTGCTTTTCGTCAGGGTATCCTGGGTTTCGTCGCTCCTCGCGCTGCGCGGTGACTTCCCGCAGCCTTTGAAGGAGCTGCCGCGTTCAGTGTGCTCCAGGCTTCCCCTCAGGTGCACCTCGCGCACGGATTCTCACGGTTTGGTTTCTTGCGATGGTTCCTTGCGGCCGCGCTTGCACTGTACTGCATCTGGGCATTGCAGTTCGGCTCGTCGCCCTAGTAGTTTTGCAGGAGGCTCTCGTAATAATTCATGTAATCCGCGCAGCTCTGGCTATGGTCCTGGTAGCTCAGCAGGTGGTCCTCGTAGCTCTCCTAGTCCAGCTCGCGGTCCTCGGAGCGCGGCCTGTGGTGCTCGAAGAGGGTTGTGGCCCTGGCAGCTCAGCGCGTGGTTCCAGTATCTCAGCGCACGATCCTCGTAGCTCAGCTGGTGGCTGTCCGTGCTCAGCAGGTGGTACTTGCAGTTCAGCTCGTCGCCCTGGTGGCGCTGCGGGAGGCTTTCGTAGTTCTGCTTGTGGCCCGCGTGACTCAGGCAGTGGCCCCCGTGGCTCTGCCTGAGGCCCTCGTAGTTCCGCTGGCGGGTCTCGGAGGTCTGCTTCTGGTCCTGGCCACTCAGCTCGTCGCCCTAGCCGCTCTTCAGGAGGTGTCAGGTAGGTCTTCCTGTAGTCCGCGTAGCTCTGGCTGTGGCCCTGGAAGCCCAGCAGGAAGCCCTCGTAGCTCTCATGGCTGCGCCTGTGGTCCTCGTAGCTTAGTTGGCGGCCCTCGTAGCGCAGCAGGCAGTCGTCGTGGTTCAGCTTGCGGTCCTTGTTGCTCAGCGTGTGGCTCTCGTGACTCGGCAGGTGGCTCTCGCAGCGCGGCAGGTGGGTCCTGTCGTACTTCTAGGTGTGTTTATTGCAGCTTCGGT